AATATGACTGCCTTCTTTGTCTCTTATTTCTGTCCACTTCGACTAGGCGCTTACGCATCTCAGCAGTAAGTCTTTAAATCCACTTCAAGAGCGGAAGGGGCTACAACGAGTAGCCGAAAAGGGACTCCTCCTCAGGAAGTAATTTTGTAATGCGGTCAGCGGTTTCTATTACTTATGTTTACAGTTAACTTAGTCCTTTCTTCCGAAGGCCTGAGGATAGGGATACAATTGTGTTTCCATTTCATGAATTCCATCTGTTTTCATCGGTAGCTAGCCATCCACCCCTACCCGTTGTCGGCGTTCCTGTAGCCTCTGTGATCACTCTTCTCTGTCTGAGAGTGGCGAGGAGTGGCAGTCAGTGAGTGGTTTAATGCGGTGATTGTCAACGGCTCCACATCTCAGTGTTTTTCTGGTTTGGCTAAGACTAGTTGTTACACCTTTGCTGTGTTGCAGGACTGCGTCGTTGAACGCTCCGACCAAGTGGTGCGAAATTGTCTCGAAGCCGTCACAACAAAGCTGATGCCTTGTGCAGATTCGAGTGATCTTCTGCGTTCTTCACCTCCGCCGTGTCTTATAGCGCCCCTTTGTCGTGTACCACGCGTCCTCTTCGAGGAATTTGATAGCTGGGAAGAGGGCTCCGTTGTGAGTATTCCGGACGTTGATGAGCACATTTCCACCGAACTTCTCTCCACCGTTTTAAGGCGCCATGAAGACAATGGAGCGGAGTTTGAGGGTTGTTCGCTTCTCCAACTCTCTTTACCGGTTGTCTTAGAGGCCTCAGACGTCATTTCTGTTGGTCGGTCTACAATTGATCGTGATGACGATGCTACGAATGAGACGGAAGTGCAGGATGTGGAGGAAGAACAAGAAGAAGAGGTCTACCAACCAATCAGTAGCACCTCTGAGTCAAACTCTGATACCTCCAACGACAACCCTGTTAGTTCAGCATCGGCAACAACTCCAACCTTGACGGCGATGGCTTCTTTCCCCTTGATGGTGTCAGTGGAAGCGGATATTGCTACCACTACTGCAAGAGAGCGTCACAATTCCAACATGTCAACAACTCCCACTGCTGCTGCTGCGTCCGTTTCTGTTCCCAGCATCACCAGGGCCATATCCTCCTCTTCTGTGTCTAGTTCGCGTCGACGTAAGGGCAGCAGTCCAAAAAAACGGGTGTTTGACGATCCTGAGAGGATTCTGGATTTGTCGTCCAAGTCGAGCGCTGTGGACGAGTGATTGGCGTTTGTCTCTCTCCTGTACAGCTTTCTCTCTCTATCTCTCTCCATCTCTCTTTTAACATGATCTAACCACAAATATATCTATACTTTTTTGTCTTTTTGTACATAGAAATTATATCCCAATTTTGGCACTATCAGGTTGTCTGTTTATTGATTGCCTCGTCCTCCTTGTTGCTGCTGCTTCTGTTTCATTGTGTACACACTGAAGGCTAAATAATCCCCTTCTCCGTTGCCACTATTATTATTATTATCATCTTCATTCTCATTTACAATTACTATTATCATGGAGTTTAAATACATTTTATTCCTCCGCCGAGCATGTCCCCGCATAGTAGGCTTCAATTGGTTGGCTTAAGTTCGACCTTGACGTAAACCAATAGTCGCGCACGTTCCGCCGGCGCATCAACGACTCGCCTAACAGGATGTCATTGTTATCATCAACTACTTCGAAATTAAAGTGGCTCTTTCCGAAGAATGATTTTTTTTGTGATTGTGAGTGACTTCATGATTTTGGAAGGTATGGGAAAACTTCGCTACTGTTGCGTCCATTACTGGTACCACCAAACGGCGTACACATCGATGCTGTTTTTTTTGCTACGAACGATGCTTTCTAAAGTCGGCTGGCTAAAGGAATTTCATTTGCTCTGATGAAGTCAGTGGACAACTGGAGCTGCTCAAACTTGGAGGAGGCTTGACAGGTTATTTTTCTAGTGTTCTGGCCTTTTTTCAGCCTTAACAGCATGAGTAGCTCAGAAGTTTCAACTCACCGTTGCTTTAACGGGTTTTTGAAATACGCGCGGTTATTGTGTTTTAATACTTCAACTTTTTGGACACACTGAAAATATTCTGTTTCATTTTCAATAGGTGGAAGCGAGTCTCGTCTGTGCAGTTTTTAGAATTTGATCCGTAGGACGACGGCTAATGTATCCATTTCCTCTCTTTTGATTGGTTCATCGGGTCTGTCTTCCATTGGCTTTGTGTTTTGATTGGCTGGTTAGGTGACCTCTTGTTGACTTCTGCTTATTTTGAACTTGTAAATCGTTAAATGACAAATAAAGCAAAGTCACACTTATTCGTGAATTCAATTCGCAAACGAGATTGGTTAAGGAGTTTTGGGATCTTTGGGGCACCCGATGGTAGATCTTGTGACATTTTCCATCGGAGCCTCTTCCTTGACGGGTGCACGATGATTCGCTAAGAAAGATAATAGTTTCCTATTCTCCTCACCTCTGGTGTGGTTGGATGTGTGGTTTCAGCGTTATCATCATTATCGTTTCCTCACAACAGATCGTCCGCTTACTGTCTCGCATTGATTCAAATTCAATGCATTACAGCTTCTCGGAGTTCTGTGTGAAATAGAGGTCTGAGAAGGGAGTAGCCAAGTACTGTAGTTCTGTTTAAGAGAAATTTATAGCACACGGGTTGGGATTGTCACTATCTGATCATTAGGTTCGCATCATTTCATTATGGAGCATAGATCCCCTTCACGTCGCCTTGAGAATATTGATGCTGTTAAACTTTTTGGAATCCACTCGGCGATGTTTGCTGTGAAGAGGAGATGGAGTTGCGAATCCCGTTGTGCACCTCAAGCGGGTCAATGCTACCAGCGATCCACTACAGTCGGAACAACTACTGCCTTGTGTAAATAGAGGCGACACCACGTGATGGGGTGACCATAATGCACACCCTGGTGGGTGTTGCCAAGACTTCGCATTTTCTGATGTCCCTTAAAACGGACACCACGTTTATGGACCGGCGAAGTCATGCTCCTCTGGACCCCCCACGTCTCTTGTCTTCAAACCACTCTCAAATGTGGAGTATTCACTTGTGCTTTAGGGTTATTGCAGCAAGTGTATGTAAAACGGGTAAATTCAATGGGGTAAAAGGTAAAGTTACTGATTAGAAGCGGGAGAGGAATAGTGCATCACATATATGCTCGAATTCCTAGTATGTCTGGTGAGTGAAGTGAAGGAGTGCTGCTGAGTGATTTACTCTCTTCGTTTGTGCATGAAAGGGCATCAGCAGCAGTTTTGATTAAGTGTCGAATTTGGCCCTAGTTTTGACTTATTGTCCACTTGAAGCCTTCTGTTTGTCGTGGCTGTGAAAGTCTGCCACGATTTGGTGGGCTAAGTTTCGTTTGCTCATTGCAGACGCCAGCGAAAATTGTGTAAATGACATGAATCATTGACATTTTAGAGGGTGCTACTTTTAAATTTAAGTAGCATTGCTTTAAGCGAAATAAATATCCTCTAATGGTTTTAACTTCATTTATG